TCATGTCTCCTCTCAGCCTTTTCTTCTGAAGGATAAACATGCCCAGCTATATTATTTATAACAGTATGTATATATATATATATATATATACACACACACACACTGATATATGTGTATCTCTGTATGTTTTGTGTGTGTGTGTGTATGTATATATATACATATGCACACATATACATACACATACAGATACACACATACATACATATACAGACACACAGCGGTATATATGATGTTTTATATATGGCCCCTTTTATACTGCCATCCACATTATCTGCTTTGAAATGGATTAAATGAGTCTACACTGCCATATAATCCAGTTCTAAGCAGATAATCTGGATTTTATATGGCAGTGTAGAAAGGGCCTATGATGCCCCTTGTCCTGATCGAACACTTTCCAAGCATTGTATGATGACGACACACCTTTTAAAACATTTGTGACACAGTAATTCAGTTTTACTAGCAAATGAGAGATCAAGCCAACCCCTTATAAGAAATTTGGATGCATACATAAAAGGTAATGTCAGAATGTACAGGGACACAACCTATCTTATGAAATCTTTTCATGTATAAATTTTAAAAATTATGATTTATAAGATAATTGCATACATGTCTAAGATTTTTGTAATTTCTCATTACATTTGTGCGACACAGCGATACACTTAGGCAACACACTTACGCTGTGACACACAATTTGTTCTATTGTCCTTAAAACATTCTATATTTCCAAGGTGATATTCTTGATTGGTTGCTGTAATATTTCCTTGAATATTTTGTATGTGTTGTTGTTTATAAATTGCATTTTTATTATTATGTCAACTGTTTTGAACAACCAATTTGATGTGACTAGGACTCTGGAGCCCCATCTACACTGCCATTTAAAATCCAGATTACCTGTTTGAACTGGATTATATTAGTCTACACTCACTGCCATATAACCCAGTTCGAAACAGATAATCTGGATTCAGGAACTGGATTATATAGCAGTGTAGATGTGGCCTGGTTGATCTTGGCAAGTCACACTTTCTCAGCCTCAGGACCCCATCTACACTGCCATTTAAAAATCCAGATTACCTGTTTGAACTGGATTATATTAGTCTACACTCACTGCCATATAACTCAGTTCGAAACAGATAATCTGGATTCAGAAACTGGATTATATAGCAGTGTAGATGTGGCCTGGTTGATCTTGGCAAGTCACACTTTCTCAGCCTCAGGACCCCATCTACACTGCCATTTAAAAATCCAGATTACCTGTTTGAACTGGATTGTATTAGTCTACACTCACTGCCATATAACTCAGTTCGAAACAGATAATCCGGATTCAGAAACTGGATTATATAGCAGTGTAGATGTGGCCTGGCTGACCTTGGCAAGTCACACTTTCTCAGCCTCAGGCCCCATCTACAGTGCCATGTAATCCACTTTCTGGAGAGATATGGTTCATGTTCCCTCCGTTCCTTTAATTCTAGTGTAGTTTTTTTAGTTTTGCGTTTATGTTATGTACTGCTTTTTTCCCCCTTAAGTGATGTTTTTATGTATACTAAACCCTTTTGAGTGTGTATGTGTACATAAAAATATTTATAAAAATATTTATCAAAGACTGACGCAAAAAAAATTAACAGCAAACAACAAAACTACATTTTTATTATTTTCTTCTCTGTTTTCTCCCCTCTCCTTCTTCCCCTTTTTTCTCTTTTCTTTCCAACTTTTCTATAAAAGATAATGTTCTCCCACTTTCCATGTAAAACGAATTTTCCCTTTTTTTCTTCTTTCCTATTTTTCTCTCCCTTTCCTAATATTATTTTCTTCCAACAAAATTTCAATCAAATATAAAACTAAAAAAAACCCTACATTATGCTTAGTGGGAGAAATACACATGAGAAAATAAATCCACTGTTACGCTTAGTGGGACAAATAAACATAGACATCTATATAAATAAAATGTAATGTTTGTTTGTGGGATGAAAGTAACTCAAAAACCATTGGATGAATTGTCACCAAATTTGGACACAAGACACCTATCAGGCCAACAAGTGACCATCACTCATAAAAACACTGAAAAACACAGGAGAAGAGGCTTAAAAAGCCAAATAAATAAATACATTACAATGCATGCACAAAACCACATATATACACATATCATCATCATCATCATCTTTATTTATATCTGTTCTGGAACGGCTCCAATTTTGTGTTTTGCACTGAGTGTTTGTTCATAGTCCTAAGTTGCAGATAGGTGGCTTCCTTTGGCTGCATTCATAGGGCAAGCCACCTGTCAATAATAGTTAGGATCCCTGGTCCCGCCCCTCTCTGGTTTTTTGGAGGGAAGGGGCCATTTTTCAGTTAGTCTCAGCAAAGGAAGTCTATGCAGAGGATGTATACAGACATCCTCCTGTACAAGGCTTTGTCCCTTAAGACTTCCCGGGGGAGAACAGTCTTAAGAGCCTCTAAAGATTCCCAAAGGTTCCGGGGAAACAGCCTTACAGCCCTGAGGAATTCCGGAGGGAATAACAGCTCTAATCGTCAAGATCTCCAGCTAAGTGACTACAGGCCTGCTGGTACGTCTGCTCGGTTCTGAGACGCAGTTCAGCCGGTAGTGGATTCAAATCAGTCAGGTTTAGGTTCACAGTAGCCTGGGAGGAGCTAGAAAGGGGAATTTTCCTTTGAACAAAGTTATTGAAGATAGTGCCTGTTCCCTGTGGACAAGTTTGAGAGAACTGGTTTCTTTACCAAGAAAGCTTTACAATTCCTGTTTGTTCATCAATAAAAGACTGTTATATTTAAGCTCAAGCCTCCTAAAGACTGTTTAATGAGGGAAATTTCTCTAAAGGCTCCTTTTCGGGGGCCCTGGCTTCCTGCTGGATTCAAGCCATACATCCTCTCTTAAAGGCACTTCATTTCAGGTCCAGCGGCGACAGAACAATATCCCATCCCCATCTCCCCCAAAGGGGACTCAGGGCAGCTTACATGAGACCAAGCCTAAACAACATATTACAGCAAAATAAAAACAAAAAGATATGCAATAAGCTTATTGACAAATCCTCCGTCTAGGAAATGGCCATATTAACCCACTTCTGAAGCACAGCTTTATAACCAAGAATAAAAATTACTTTTAAAGCGGAATTATGACTCTAAAAAAAAAAGCAACAACATAAATGACAAAAAACCAAATGAATACATTAACAATATAACATTACAATAAATACAATCACAGTGACATATACACAAATATACACACACACATATACACACACAAAAACATATACACAGAATGGGCCACAGCAACGCATGGCATGGGATGGCTAGTGAGAAAATAAAAGCTGGGTTGTTGTAGGTTTTTTCGGGCTATATGGCCATGTTCTAGAAGCATTTTCTCCTGACGTTTCGCCTGAATCTATGGCAAGCACCCTCAGAGGTAGTGAGGTCTGTTGGAACTAGGAAAAAGGGGTTTATATACATGTGGCATGACCAGGGTGGGACAAAGGACTCTTGTCTCTTGGAGCTAGGTGTGAATGTTTCAACTGACCAGGAGTCCCTGGTGGTGCAATGGGTTAAACCCTTGTGCCAGGAAGTGAGCTCCAGCTTCCCATGCAGGAACATGAGAGATGATGTATTGCCGAAGGCTTTCATGGCCAGAATCACTGGGTTGTTGTAGGTTTTTTTGCGCTATACGGCCATGTTTTAGAGGCATTTCTCCTGATGTTTCACCTGCATCTATGGCAAGCATCCTCAGAGGTAGTGAGGTCTGTTGGAACTAGGAAAAAAGGGTTTATATATCTGTGGAATGACCAGGGCAGGACAAAGGACTCTTGTCTGCTGGAGCTAGGTGTGAATGTTTCAACTGACCCCCTTGATTAGCATATAATGGCCTGACATTGCCTAGAGCAAACTTTTGTTGAGAGGTGATTAGAGGCTGGATGGCCATCTGTCAGGGGTGCTTTGAATGCAATATTCCTGCTTCTTGGCAGAATGGGGTTGGACTGGATGGCCCATGAGGTCTATTCCAACTCTTTGATTCTATGATTCTATATATGAGTAGATCATAGAAGGTAACGGGAAGGTAACAGCGGGAAGGTAACAGCGCTCCATGCAGTCATGCTGGCCACATGACTTTGTGTTAACAGGTTCTTGTGGGGTTTTTCGGGCTATAGGGCCATGTTCTAGAGGCATTTCCGGGATTCCGGCCCAAGATACCTAACTGACCGCCTCTCGGCCTATGAGCCCATGAGATCTTCCGGGGAGGCCCTGCTCTCGATCCCGCCTGCGTCACAGGCACGGCTGGCGGGGACGAGAGATAGGGCCTTCTCGGTGGTGGCTCCTCGGCTGTGGAACACCCTTCCCGTGGACATCAGGCTAGCTCCCTCCCTGTTGATATTCCGCAGGAAGTTAAAGACCTGGCTGTTTAAGAAGGCATTTGAACAAGAAGTGCAGTGACTGGTAATTTGACCATAGGAACGGAACAACGGAAATGATATCGGATTGTGGGTTTGACGATGAGACGACTCGGAATTGGCTTTTGTAGTAATGTTGATGTTTTGATGAGATGTTTTCTGATAAATTTCTCCTGAACATGGCCCTATAGCCCGAAAAACCCCACAAGAACCTAGTGATTCCAGCCATGAAAGCCTTCGACAATACTTTGTGTTAATGTTTCAACTGACTACCTTGATTAGCATTTGATAGCCTGGCAGTGCCTGGAGCAATCTTTTGTTGAGAGGTGATTAGATGTCCTTGTTTGTTTCCTCTCTGTTGTTGTGCTGTTCTAATTTTAGAGTTTTTTTAATACTGGTAACCAGATTTTGTTCATTTTCATGAACAAAATAAAAGCTTTCCCTCTTTGTCATAATGTCTGCGTTTCTCTCAGAAAATGAACTTCGCACACGGTGCCTTGGCTATTTGCTTCGTTTCCTCCCCGATGACGCAATTTCATGCAGGTCCCTTACTACCAAAATCACGTTCCTGAGCTTCTTCTCGCGAGAAGTCTAAAGTTGCAGACTTCCTCCCAGAAGCCTCTGCCGTTCCTTTTCCCCGGCGGTAGTGGGCGGCCGAAGGTAGGTACCGAGGGCCTTGGCTAGTATCCGTCGCCGTGCGCCGCCATCCTGCCATCGGGACCCCGGGGGTTGTTCCTAATGGAGACGGAAGGCTTCTGGGCACTCGGTGGCGGCGGTATTTCCGTGTTTTGAGGCGGTTCTCGGGGAGAGAAAGGAGGGATGGAGAAGCGGAGGGTAGAGCCGGGGAAAAAATGGCGGATGCCGCAAGTGAAGAGGGGGTCTGAATGCCCGGATGTACAAGGCGTTCTATTGGGAGGAGGAGGATGGAATGTACAGGTATAGGACATCTAATCCCTGGCTTGCAGCCAGCCTATGTGAAAGGGATCTAGGAGTCTTGAGTATAGTATAGGCATAACACGAGTCAACACTGTCATGTGGCAGCTAGATAAGCCAATGCAATTCTAGGCTGCTTCAGTAGGACTATAATGGCTCGAGGGAGTTTTTTAAGATTCTAGATGGTCGTCTGTCAGGAGTGCTTTGATTGTGTGTCACTGTATAGAAGAATGGACTAAATAGCACACTTGGATTTTGGAAAATGCTTTTTCGAGAGGAGCCAAAAACTTTTTAGAGTAGAATCTCCTCTTGTGGTGTACAACTAAATATAATTATGCAAGGCAATGGGTTCAGACTGAATAACCAGCTCTAAGTGTGCTAGTCAATGGTCTCAGTTGTTAGACTGATTAACCTGTTGTCGCAGATCTGTTAGGAAAACAGGTTTTCCCAGTGCATAAAACAGCACTGCTTCAAAAGTGTTTTTCAGTGCCCCAAAGTAGATATACTCTCCCATAAAACAACTTTTCTTTGTGTGTTGGGAGCAACTTGAGAAACTGCGAGTCGCTTCTGGTGTGAGAGAATTGTCCATCTGCAAGGACGTTGCTCAGGGGGTGCTCGGATGTTTTACCATCCCTTGCGAAGCTTCTCTCATGTGGGTTGTTGTAGGTTTTTTTTGGCTGTATGGCCATGTTCTAGAGGCATTCTCTCCTGACGTTTTGCCTGCATCTATGGCAAGCATCCTCAGAGGTAGTGAGGTCTGTTGGAACTAGGAAAATGGGTTTATATATCTGTGGAAAGACCAGGGTGGGACAAAGGACTCTTATCTGCTAGAGCAAGGTGTTAATGGGTTGTTGTAGGTTTTTTCAGGCTGTATGGCCATGGTCTAGAGGCATTCTCTCCTGACGTTTCGCCTGCATCTATGGCAAGCATCCTCAGAGGTAGTGAGGTCTGTTGGAACTAGGAAAATGGGTTTATACATCTGTGGAATGACTGGGGTGGGACAAAGGACTCTTGTCTGCTGGAGCTAGGTGTGAATGTTTCAACTGACCACCTTGATTAGCATTTGATTTCCTGGCAGTGCCTGGAGCAATCTTTTGTTGAGAGGTGATTACTTGTCCCTGATTGTTTTCCCTCTGCTGTTTTGCTGTTGTAATTTTAGAGTTTTTTTAATACTGGTATCCAGATTTTGTTCATTTTCACGGTTTCCTCCTTTCTGTTGAAATTGTCCACAAGCTTGTGGATTTCAATGGCAAGCATGTGGACCATTTCAACAGAAAGGAGGAAACCATGAAAATCAGGCTTTGGCAGAATTCATTGTTTCTAATTTTTTAAAACTTATATAAAGCACCATTTTGATCTTTGCTTGTTGTCTTTTTAACTCTGCAGTATTTGCATATACTGAAATGTTGGGAACATGTTTTTAATTGATCCATAAATACAACAGCCATGTCTGGGTAACGAAAATATGTATGGGGACCCTTTTGCACAGCCCTATATCCCAGAATTTCCCGGCAGAAAATCTGAGTGTGGACTCAGATAACCCAGCTCAAAGCAGATCTTGTGGGATTTTCTGTCTTGATATTCTGGGATATAGGGCTGTGTGGAAGGGATCTTGTACTACTTTAGAAAAAGATTTGTGGACAATGCTACATATCATAGTTTTAGGGAGATTCTTTGCATTAATTCTGAACAAGAAAAATGTGATCACTAAAATTCTGGGACAAAGCGGTGTACCCAAGGCCCCTTTCACACAGCTGTATAAAATCCACATCGAACTGGATTATATGGCATTGTGGACAAAGAGACTTTCCACACAGCCATATAATCCAGAATATCAAGGCAGATAATCCATAATGTCTGCTTTGAACTGGGCTATCTGAATCCACACTTCCATATGATGCAATTCAATGTGGATTTTATTTAGCTCTGTAGAATAAACAGGGACCTCAGATAATCCAGTTCAAAGCAGATATTGTGGATTATATGGCTGTATGGAAGGTCCCCAAGTCATCTTTTTAATCCCTAGATACACAGATTGTTAAGGAAATTGAATTCTGAGAACCTTTATAAAGAAATTTCTCTTTCTACCTTTTCCATAGGTAGGCTTCAAAGATGGTCCGCTACTCGCTCGATCCAGAGAATCCCACAAAATGTAAGTATTTCCTCATATTCAGTCTTGAGAGTCATATTCAAACATTTGAGCCCTTTGTTTATATTGTTTTCTTTCTATTTTTTCATAGCATGCAAATCAAGGGGTTCCAACCTTCGTGTTCACTTCAAGGTATGTAAAAACTAGCTTTCATTCTCCCACTTCAGAATTAATAGATTTGGGTCTAAACAATTTTTAAAGTGTGCTGAGACTTGTGCCTGATCTCCAAGATATCTCATGACATCTATGCAAGTTCGAACTATAAGATGCTGTGGTTCTATGTTTCTTGTTCACCTTTAACATATTGTAAGCCACATTTTGTTTTGTGTTTGTAAAACAATATGGATGTTAAGAAATACTTGAAGAAATATTCCAGGATCAGGAAAAATAATAACGTGTGAACCTTTGCAGAATTCTATCTGTAAAACCTTTTTGGGCTTGGTCAGAGGGCTTGCTAAGGTTATTTTTTAAAATAACTGATTCAGTTTTGGGCTGAATCAGGTAGAAATTCAGTGCCATGGGGTTGTTTCATAACTGCAATGATGACCAACTTAGGACACCTTTGGAATCCTCATGAAAACAGCTAAGTGATTCTGAGCAGTTACTTCCCTTTGGGACTATTTCTGAGTAGGACATTTCTTGGTTTTAGAGTGTGCTTGATTAAAAAAATATATGCAATCTCCTTTCTCCCACTTTAGAACACACGTGAGACTGCTCAGGCTATTAAGGGTATGCACATCCGTAAAGCTACCAAGTATTTGAAGGATGTGACTCTGAAGAAGCAGTGTGTTCCCTTCCGTCGTTACAATGGTGGGGTTGGCAGATGTGCCCAGGTATGCAGTTGGGTTTAATGGATTTACTAATTGGATTGTTGGGTTTCTTCTTGGGGAAAGTGCTGGCAACAGCCACTGGCATTTTGGGGCAAATAATACTGTATCTCAAAGGGATAAAACCTTTGTCATCTCATGATGAGGACATTGACTGGGAAAGGAGTAATGATAACATGAACTGGTGATATTGATTGTTGGCTGAGATTGGAAATAGAATGTAGCTTTGTAAAGTCACAAGAATTATGTAATGAGTGTGGATTAGTCAGTTGCAAGACAGCAAACAAATGAAATAGTAATATTCCTTGTGCACCTCCATGTCGAAAGCCAATGCATACCTGCATGTGAAATACACTGTGGTACCACTTGGGGACGCCTGGTGACACAGCGGGTCAGTTCGAAAATTTGCAGATGCGAGTAGATCGATAGGTACTGCTTTGGCAGCAAGGTAAATGGTGCTCCATACAGTCATGCTGGCCACATGACCTAAGAAACGTCTACGGACAACGCTGGCTCTTCAGCTTAGAAATTGAGATGAGCACCACCCCCCAGAGTTGGATACGACTAGACTTAATGTCAGGGGAGACCTTTACCCTTACTTACCACAGGTGCAATGGCACCACATGCTCATCTATGCTCCCACCACCTTCAGTTGAATACAGATATGCCATGGCCAAAAAAGGAGGATGGGTGTAAGCAAACTTACACATACCGTATATTCCGGCATATAAGACGACTGGGCGTATAAGACGACCCCCAACTTTTCCAGTTAAAATATAGAGTTAAGACGACTCCCATGCATAAGACTACACCTGCGTATAAGACGACCCCTGACTTTTGAGAAGATTTTCTTGGGTTAAAAAGTAGTCTTATACGCCAGAATATACTGTAAGTCACTAATAGAATGCCAGCTTGTGTGTAAAATATTGAAGCCATAGTAAGTTACCTATTGTGAATGGCTTCAATGGCCTTGGCAGTAAGAGATGTGATAAATATCTGTTCATGAAAGTATGTGGTTGCAGTCGAGAAGTGTATTCACTGCTCAGTGCATTAGTACTAGTTTTTTCATACTAGAAATATCAAAGTAAAATACTGTTGTGTGTACACTGAACTGTTATCCCCATTGTTCAGTTTGCTGGATACATATGGGATATAATTTCATTACTTTCTGCATTTCTCTCATGTTCTCATGCACGTGCGTGATTCAGGTTGCTGTGATGACTTTCTTAGGACACCTTTGGATTAACCATGAAAATAAAGCTTAGGTCTGAGCAGCCTATATAACCATATAGAGCAGGCACGGGCAAACTTTGGCCCTCCAGTGATTTGGACTTCCACTTCCCACAATTCCTAACAACCGGCTGGTAGGAATTGTGGGAGTTGAAGCCCAACACACCTGGAGGGCCGAAGTTTGCCCATGCCTGATAGAGTAAAAAGATGGATACTTTTTGTTTGGAAGACAACTCACATCAAATTCTTCATTTTGTAGGCCAAGCAGTGGGGCTGGACTCAGGGGCGCTGGCCTAAGAAGAGTGCAGAGTTCCTCCTGCACATGCTCAAAAATGCAGAGAGCAATGCTGAGCTCAAGGTAAAATTAAGCACATGAAAACTTGTTATGGTTCAGGCCTAATTTCAACAGACATGCTACTGTTTATCTTAAGGTCTGTGGTTCCTCAGAACCATTGTTTGTATTAATGGTGGATCTGGCTGATAGAAAGGATAGTCTTAACTCAAAAGTGCTGTATATCTAGAAGTGTGATGCCTGATATAATTATCGCTAGGTTTGGTACTTAAGATGATCATTAAAGCAAAGAACGTTGTGATTAAACTGGGAGCTTTCTGAACTTGTGCTGCACTGCTAAGCTGTGGAGCTTCCTTAATTTTTGCTAAGATGGGGAAATAGAACAAAATTGAATGGATCAAAACTGTGTTGGAACAGGCTCACTCTAAGAGGGGTTTTGGGAAGATGAGAGTATGAAAGCTGGGCTTATGGAAGACGCAGAGGGTGAATTGAGTTCATGGGAAGGATTAAAAACATATATAGTGGTCTTCAGTGGCAATGATGACTATCTTAGGACACCTTTGGAATCACCATGAAACAAATGCAAATTCTGAGCCACTGTTCACATTTCTAATTGAAAATATTTGCCATTTGTACATTAATTGTGCTATTCCTTATTTAATTTTGCTACTAATGTGATTAGTTAATTCTAAGTTCATTCCTATTTATATATATTTAGCTTTATTTTTGTTTTAAATTATTGACCATTGCAAGTTCTAAGAAGTATGATGCAGGAAATAATAATACTCAAACATGGTTATGGGAATGACTGTAAACTAGATAAAGCTACAGTATTTTGTGAAGATGTAATGAGAATTTCTAAAACTGTTTCTCCATAGGGCCTGGATGTCGATTCTCTGGTTATTGAACACATTCAGGTTAACAAAGCTCCCAAAATGCGCAGGCGGACGTACAGGGCTCATGGCCGCATCAATCCCTACATGAGTTCTCCCTGCCACATTGAGATGATCTTGACAGAGAAGGAACAGATTGTCCCGAAGCCGGAAGAGGAAGTTGCTCAGAAGAAGAAGGTATGGAACTTTTTGGCATTTCTGCCCCAGGAGTTTGTTGTCAGGGTGTAAATCCAAAATAATATTTTTATAGGATTAAGATTTGATTGAAATCTCTCCTCCCGCCCCCAAGTCATAAAAATCAGTCTAATAAGTTTGTTCAGTCCTATGTATTTTTCTCAGAACTGCTAAATGATCCTTGCTTCCAGGTATTTTTCTCCTTAAGGAAGTGCAGCATGAGTTATACTTAGATGGCGAGGGACACTATTCTGGTACAGTTGTGAATAGGCACAGTTAGTATGCAAACTTTAATTGAAAATGACATTCAGGTTTTCTCAGTCAAATACATACTTAACGGCTAAAACATGATATTTTACTGTGCAAAGTCTTACTTGTTACCTATTGTTGCAGGATTTTTGCCCCCCCCCCTCCCCCCCCCCAGACTAGACACAGTGAGGTCTAAATACAGTTAGACCCACTTTGAAATAGACCCATTCATTAATTGGGTTTACCTACAGGTTGACTCACTGTTCAGTGATTGATTCAGTGGGTCTGTTACAGTTGGACATAACTTAATAGAATTCTGTGGCATGAAAGGTCTCTCTTATTGCAAATGGCAAAATACATTATTGTTACCATTATTTCTAATATTTTTCCAGACCAGTGGAATATATTGTATTGTGAAAGTATTTGATATTTTTGTAATTTTAAATGCTGTGAACACACTGAATTGTTGCTTTTTTCTCATTCCCACAGATATCTCAAAAGAAACTGAAAAAGCAGAAATTGATGGCTCGGGAATAAATATTCAATTAACACAAATAAAATGTGTGAACTTCAATTTGTTTTCTGTTTTATTTTAGAACAAAGTTATGCAATTACCACTGTATTTTTTTTCTTCTGATTCTATAGTAGATTTTTCAAAGGCATTCTAAAATATACAATACTTTTAAAAATGATTGTTTTTTGTAATATTTTCCACTTTTCATGGCATTGCAGGTACATACTGCCTTTCCACGTGGCTCTCCAGTTCATTGTGAATTTGGTAGTAGTATAACGCAGTTTGCCTGCGTGCGGAATATGGGTTTATTATAAGTGTGTGGACTGGCCAAATGTCAGTTGGCCATCCATTGGGGCAGCTTATTTGATGGGCCAGATGCTGACAAATATCCTTTTAAACCAGGAATGTCACAATGGTTTTTCAGCTTTAATATAATGGCCTTTTATTAGCATGTGCAGCATGAGAAGGGGGCCTTCTCTGAAGTGAGAAATGCAGATTAGACACCTCTTGTAAGAGGCAAAGCAAAATTTGCTGTTGAATCCAAATGCCATGGACCATTATTTGACATTTTGGTTTGCAGAGAAACTATGATTTCAGCAAATAATTCACCCCATTCAGACACAGGCCCCTTCTACACTGTCATATAAAATACTGATTATCTGCTTTAAACTGGATTATATGGCAGTGTAGAAGGGGCCTCATATAACCCAGTTCAAAGATAATGTGCAATATCTGCTTTTATAATCTAGATTACATGGCAGTGTAGAATTGGCTATGCTGACATTAAAATCAAGTGTGTAATTTTGCCTACAGAAGAGTGAATAGCTAAGACAGAGATGTATGCCTTCTTGACATGATACCATAATATTCAATTTAAGGCTGTATAGTTGGCAGATTTTCCTTTCCCATTTCATCATAGTGTCACTTATTAGCAAGGATATGCCTAAGGCCAGATGCTAACCCCTAGAAATACATCTACCAGTGGATCTCTGGTATGCATTTTGTACTGGTCATCTGCTACAACATCCAAAGGATAAGGCATCTTCAGACATATGCAGGCAGACAGTGGCGATGAATGCTTCTGTCCCTCATAATAAGAGTAATAATAATAATAATAAACTTTATTTATACCCCGCCGGTTTACGTGAGGCCAAGCCCAAATAGCAAATATGCTACTGGATCCAAAATGCCGAAAATGTGTTCCTTGTGTTGATAAAGCCAACAAGAAGTTCTGATCAATATTTTCAATCATTTTTAATTTTTTTGTGTCAAAAGCATTGCATTGTTGTTCATTTGTTCAGTCATTTACGACTCTGACCTCATGGACCAGCCCACGCCAGAGCTCCCTGTTGGCCGTCACCACCCCCAGCTCCTCAAGGTCAAGCCAGTCACTTCAAGGATGCCATCCATCCATCTTGCCCTTGGTCGGCCCCTCTTCCTTTTTCCTTCCATTTACATAAGTATAAAATTGATAAAAATAGAAGGAGCACAAGCAACTAAATAATTTTGACCAAAAACGGGCAACAGTGACTGCATTGTCTAGTTTTAAACCGTTCTTCCTCTGTGCATGAAGCAGGGCATTGTGACCAAGCATACAGGTGCGGAGTTGTTTGTTCTGCTTCACAGTTGCACAAATTGGGTTCTAGGGAGTGCTGTTTGGCCAGGTTGCCGTTTGATTTGAAATGCAAAGATACAGCCACCGTACACGTACTGCTCTTGCCTGGCTCGGGAGCAGTACGTGTACGGCGGCTAAAAAAACCCAATGGGATTTTGGCCTGCATAAATAGGACTATAGTGTCTAGATCCAGGAAAGTCATACTACCCCTCTATTCTGCCTTAAAGAGCTGGGTATGTTTAGCCTGCAGAAGAGAAGTCTGGGAGGAGACATGATAGCCATGTATAAATACGTGAGGGGAAGTCATAGGGAAGAGTGCTGCCATGCCAAAAGATCTCAGCTGGCATTTGGAAACAATAAACATTGACAAAATCACAATCTGTCAGCTGCAAAAGGCCACCTTACTTGGATCTGCGCACGTCATTCGAAAATACATCACACAGTCCTAGACGCTTGGAAAGTGTTCGACTTGTGATTTTGTGATACAAAATCCAGCATCTAGATCTCGTTTGCTGCGATATACTGTGCTTTTGTGTCAATAATAATAATAATAATACAGTCCCAAATGCTTGGGAAGTGTTCGACTTGTGTTTTTGTGATGCAAAATCCAGTATATAGATCTCGTTTGCTATGACATACTGTGCTTTTGTATCGCTAAAATAATAATAATAATATTGTTCCAAATGCTTGGGAAGTGTTCGACTTGTGTTTTTGTGATATGAAATCCAGGATATAGATCTCGTTTGCCGTGTCATACTGTGGTTTTGTGTCAGTACAATAATAATTTATTTATTCATTTCCCGCCCTATCTCCTAGAGGGGACTCAGGGCGTTTACCACAGATATCAGGAAACATTCAATGCCGTGAGAAGCTGAACAAAAACAACCCCTCAAATCCCAAAAACAAATCCACATCTATATCAAAAATAATAACACATTATACTGCAAGATTACTAGTAATATTATATGTAATATAGAATATACAATTATATTATATTGTACTATATTATTATACCACAATATATATAATGCACTACCAGTACATTATACTATTTTATTTAGAACATTTATACCCCTTCCTCTCAACCTCCAAAAAGGGACTCGGGACGGCTTCCAACAGCCAATGCCGACACAATATAATAACATAACATAAAATACAATTGGCATACGTTATAACACAACATAAAATACAATTAGCATACATACATACTATTAGCATTACATTGTTGCCATTTCAATATAATACGTTGTGCCTTATCATAAGTTGCAGAATATACAAAATACAATATATTATATTGCAACATTATTAATATTGACATTATTAATGCCGTCATGCCGTCCGCATGACCTTGGAGGTGTCTACGGGCAACGCCGGCTCTTTGGGTTAGAAATAGAGATGAGCACCAACTCCCAGTTGGTGCTCATTTCTATTTCTAACCCGAAGAGCCAGCGTTGTCCATAGACACCTCCAAGGTCATGCGGCTGGCATGACTGCATTAATAATGCATTAATAATGCATGAATTCAGTGTCAAAGGGAAACCTTTACCTTTGCCTTAGTATTACATATAATATAATGTGGCAGTTCAAGCCATTCAGCAATGCAGTGAGGACCAAGAGGAAGCCTAAAGTCCTCTCCAGAAATGACAAACCCCAACATTCTATGGCAGGAGTCACGTGACGGGGCACTACGCTGCCTCTAGTGTCATGGCTGCCGCAGAAGAAATGGGCGAGGCCTTTTTTTCTCTGTGACGTCACGCCCCTCCCGGCTTTCCTATTGGCAGACATACATTGACGCATGTTTCTCTACCCGGAAATGGAAGCTTTTCTGTCTTCTGCCATTGGGATTCAGGCAGGCTTAGGAGGTCCTCGCAGGTGAGTGGGGATGATGGGTTGGGAGGTGAGTGGGAGGCCCTGTGGATGATGGGAGGACTCAGGGGATGATAGACTGAGTGTTATCCAGGCACAATGATGGAATGCATTCCCTGGGAGAGGCAAGGTGATATTGTTAATAATTAACCTGTGATGTTGTGTTCAGTTTGGGCTGATAACACTATTGCTTTTGTGTTATACATTTGTGTCCTCACTAAATTAGAAAGCTTTTGTTTAGACATGCTGATATCATCTAATAATAATAATAATAATAATAATAATAATAATATATTACATGTATAATTATGTTATTATATAATATTTATTTATTTATTTATTTATTTACTTCTTTTGTATACCGCAAATATCAGCCTGCAAAGGCGACTCGAAGCGGTTTACAATAAAATGTGCAACACTAAACAATCTATATGACAGACATACACAAACAATACACATAAAAATCATCACGCCTAGTTAGAATCAGATCTCAATCTCACAGTCGTATTACCATTCCTTGTTCAATGTGCCGTCATTCCTGAGTCAGTTGTTATTGCATACTTATCCGAACGCCTGTTCGAAGAGCCACGTCTTAACCCTTCTCCTAAACGCCAATAGCGAAGGGGCCTGCCTGATGTCCGCTGGTAGGGCATTCCATAGTCGGGGGGCCACCACTGAGAAGGCCCTATCCCTCGTTCCCGCCAGCCGCACCTGTGACGCTGGCGGGACCGAGAGCAGGGCCTCCCCAGACGATCTTAACATCCTCGCCGGTTCATAGGTGGAGATGCGTTCGGAGAGGTAAGTCGGGGCCGGAACCGTGTAGGGCTTTATAGGCTAAAGCCAGCACCTTGAATTGTGCCCGGTAGCAAATTGGCAGCCAGTGGAGCTGGCTCAACAGCGGAGTGGTGTGCTCCCTGAGTGCCGCTCCCGTTAGCAACCTGGCTGCCGAACGCTGGACCATCTGAAGCTTCCGGGCAGTCTTCAAGGGCAACCCCACGTAGAGCGCGTTGCAGTAATCTATACGGGATGTGACAAGAGCGTGGACTACCGTGGCCAAGTCCGACTTCCCAAGATACGGGCGCAACTGGCGCACAAGCCGAAGCTGTGCAAATGCTCCTCTGGACACCGCTGAAACTTGGGGTTCCAAGCTTAGCGAAGAATCCAGAGTCACACCCAAGCTGCGAACCTGCGCCTTTAGGGGGAGTGCGACCCCGTCTAGCACAGGCTGTAACCCTATACCCTGTTCGGCCTTCCGACTGACCAGGAGTACCTCTGTCTTGTCTGGATTGAGTTTCAATTTGTTCACCCTCATCCAGTCCGACACAGCGGCCAAGCACCGGTTCAGGACCTGGACAGCCTCCTTAGTATATAATTATTATATATTATATAATGACATAATAATACATGTAATATATTATTATTATATATTATATATTACAGGTAATATTGCTAATTATATTGCAGTATAGTACACTATAGTAATATATAATACTAATATCGTGCTATGCTAATAATATAATATATTGTATATAAATATAATATTGATCATAATATAATGTAATACAATAATAACAATAATAATAAAAACTTTATTTATACCCCACCACATATCTCTCTCTCTCTCTCTCTCTATATATATATATATATAAATGCTCTGTGCATAATGAGTTCCTTAAAAACAAAAGAATCAATGAACGAAATCACACCAAATTTGGCAACAAAACATCTCACAACACAAGGAGTGACCATCATTCAAAAAATTAGGATTTTGTCATTTGGGAGTTGTAGTTGCTGGGATTTATAGTTCACCTACAATCAAAGAGCATTCTGAACCCCACCAACGATGGAATTGAACCAAACTTGGCACACAGTTCTCCCATGACCAACAGAAAATACTGGAAGGGTTTGGTGGGCAGTGTCCTTTGGTTTTGGAGTTGTAGTTCACCTACATCCAGGCAGCACTATGGACTCAAACAATGATGGATCTGCACCAAACTGTACAAGAATACTCAATATGCACAAATGTGAACACTGGTGGAGTTTGGGGAAAATAGAATGTTGACATTTGGGAGTTGTAGTTGCTGGGATTTGTAGTTCACCTACAATCAAAGAGCATTCTGAATCCCACCGACGATAGAACTGGGCCAAACCTCCCACACAGAACCCCCATGTGGGCCACAGCAACGCGTGGCAGGGGACGGCTAGTAATATATAAATATACTAGCTGTCCCCTGCCACGCGTTGCTGTGGCCCACATGGGGGTTCTGTGTGGGAGGTTTGGCCCAATTCTATTTGGGGGGGGGGTTCAGAATGCTCTGTGATTGTAGGTGAACTATAAATCCCAGCAACTACAACTCCCAAATGTCAAGATTCTATTTTCCCCAAACTCCACCAGTGTTCACATTTGGGCATATTGAGTATTCGTGTAGAGTTTGGTCCAAATCCATCATTGTTTGAGTCCACAGTGATCTCTGGATGTAGGTGAACTACAACTCCAAAACCAAAGGACACTGCCCACCAAACCCTTCCAGTATTTTCTGTTGGTCATGGGAGAAACTGTGTGCCAAGTTTGGTTCAATTCCATTGTTGGTGGGGTTCAGAATGCTCTTTGATTGTAGGTGAACTATAAATCCCAGCAACTACACCTCCCAAATGACAGAATCATTTTTTTGAGTGAAGGACATAAATTAGGTTGCTAGGCGTCTTGTGTCCAAATTTGGTGTCGATTCGCCCAGTGGTTTTTGAGTTCTGTTAATCCCACAAACGAACATTACATTTTTATTTATATAGATTTGTGTCCTCACTAAATTAGAACGCTTTTGTCTAGACATGTTGACATTATCTAATAATAACAATATATTACATGTATTATTATGTTATTATATAATATAGAATAATTATATATAATAATATAACAATATAATCATTGTATATTATATATTACAGGTAATATTGCTAATTATATTGCAGTATAGTACACTATAGTAATATATAATACCAATATTGTGCTATGCTAATAATATAATATACTGTATATAAATATAATATTGATGATATAATGCAATACAATATAATACAATACTAATATATAACATTACTGCTTTTGTATTATACATTTGTGTCCTCACTATATTAGAAAGCTTTTGTTTAGACATGCTGACATCATATAATAATAATAATAATAATAATAATAATAATATTACAGGTATTATGTTATTATATAATATAGAATAATTATATATAATATTATTATATAATAATATAATAATTGTATATTTTATATTACATGTAATATTGGTAATTATATTGCAGTATAGTGCTATAGTACACTATAGTAATATATAATACTAATATTGTGCTATGCTAATAATATAATATATTGCATATATATATAATATTGATCATAATATAATGTAATACAATAATAATAATAATAAAAATTTTATTTATACCCCACCACATATCAGATATAAAACAGTATTAGACCAAAGAAAAGTTACCTAACTTTGGTACAAGAGTCTCTTAATGCTGACTCTCATGTCTGCGTGTAAGAGAAGCTTTGTAGTGCTCCCTTCTCAAACACAGAGTAATAACATGCTAAAGGTTTTTGGGAAGAAGGAGAAAGTGATCGCTAAAAGCAGGCATGAAGTCAAAACAGCATGAGTTGCATAGATCTAGGAGACAGAGGTGAAAACAAGAGAGCAGACATGCACCACAGGGTTCCCTCTGTCCCTAGTTGGTCTCTGTATGAGTGTTGATGCTTCTTCCCTTCCTTATACTCAGACTTTCAATTTAAAAAGACAGGAAAAGCAGAGGGCAATGGGAACGGTGATTAAGTCAAGCAGATGCTGGTAGTTCTTCTCCCTCAGAGGCCAAAGCAATGTCTTCATGGAGTTTGCAGGAACTGGATGTGTTCAGGATTTACTAATTGTGTCCTTATGTTTAGTCTTCCAGCCCTCTTCCAACGCAGAGCCCAAAAGCGCTATGGTGTGCATTCCCTGCATCGTCATTCCAGTTCTGCTGTGGGTCTACAAACGGTTCCTTGAGCCGTATCTCTACCCCTTCATCTCACCGTTCATCAAGCGCTTTTGGTCCAAGAAAGCGTTGCAGGAAGTACCCAAGGAGGACCAAAAGACAGCCATGTTCGAATCCTCCACAGAGGTGTCTGAAATGTCCGAAGTAAGTATTTGCTAAACAAAATATGGGAGGAAACAAGCTAGACATGTTGTGTTGATAATCAAAGACATTTCCAGAGCACTAAATGCTACCTTTGTTGTACTTTGCTCACCTGATCACAGGGATGCTATAGCTGCTACTCTCTTTTGCATTACGCAGCTGTAGCCTTGAATTCCCAGGAGTGGAATTTTCTGCCCTACAATAATGGAAAGAAAACACCTCTGATGTTTTTCAAGCCAGTTTAGAAATATGTCCAGACTTGGTTGTCTGGTAGCTTTTAAACCAGGAGAGTTCCTACAGGTAATCTGAAATATTTTATTTGTTATGGTTTAATCCTGTGTTCATGTGGCCTATGAAAAAGACCCTTCGAACATGACAGATTTTGGCTGTGAGTAAACAAACTTTTTTTTTCCTTTCAAGCACATCCTTAGTTGGATATGCGTTCTAGAAGAGGACAAAATTTTGAATTCTTGCTCACTTCCCTTTAAAAAGGAAGAAACAAGAGGTCTTTGCTTTTATTCTCTAGGTGTAATAATAGTGTTTGGGGTCTTTTTATCTGTGTCTTTTAAGACTTTTGTAAATAAGAGGCAGAGTCAAGTGGTTTGAACATTGAACTATCACTGTAGAGAACAGGATTTGAATTACCAATAAGCTATGGAAATCCATTGAGTGATCTTGGGAAAGTCACAGGATTTCAGCTTCTGAGGAAGGCAAGGGCAATCCCATTTTTGGACATATCCTACCAAGAAAACCTTGTGGTAGGTTCCCTTTAGGGCCACCTTAAATAAACAAACTCACAACAAAAAAGTTAGAAGTAATGCAGACAGCTCTTCACGTTTACTCAGGTTAGAAAAAGGAAGTCTTCTGAGTTACAAGGAATCACCAAAGTGACAATTTGTGTAATGGACCCTCGTGAAAGTGAAAAATTGCAAATAAAGAAAATGCTGTTCTTTTTATCTGAGAGAATGCCCCGTAGTAATCTCTAGTTCTAGTAATTTCTAGGTCTTTTAGCATGACTCTTAGAAATCCTAATAGCTGATAAACCGGCTGGGATTTCTGGGAGTTGTAGGCCAAAACACCCACAGGTTGAGAACCACTGCTCTAGGTCTTTTAGCATGACTCTGTTTTTTCTAGACTCTAGACGTTTTTCATGAATGGCCAAATATGACTGTCAATCTGTATTGTGGCTGCTTAGTAGCAGGTTTTTGTGGCTTGCTTTGTAGAGTCACTTATTTTCTTATAGAAAGAGTTCAATGTGTTTTGTTGAAAGATTTTACCATATATTTAGTGACTGATGTACTAACTATAAGGCTGCAATCAAACTATACAACAAAGCACTGTATAATTAATAGACAATTTGGGTTTTTGGTTGTTTTGTTTCGGGGCCCGAAAATTGGACCATTAGGGGTACTGGCTCCTCTTCCTGGTGTGACTTGGGTTCTGCTGTTTCTCTTCTAGAGTAAGAGGCACTCGGCTGTAGGCACTGGCAGGTACGCATGCTTTCCAGGCCTGTCTCCATGCCCCACCCCACACTCTCTCTCTTTGGAAATAGAGTTCATGTGTGGCAGGGCATGCAGGCAGACCCTGAAAGAGTGTGCGCCTATCAGCACCTGCAGCAAAGTGCCTCTTACTCTAGAGAAAGATCTGCTCAGCTGCAGGTGTGCTCGGGCCTGCCTTTACTCCCCACCACGTATGCCCTTCCACACACTCTGAGAGTGCGTGTGTGGTGGAGCATGTCCTACCTGCACGCCCTGCCACACATGCACTCTCTTCTCAAGGCAGGGTGGCAAGTTTGGATGCACACAAAAGCAGGCTTTCATGTCAAGCATACTTGTGTTTGCGCGGGGGGGCTTCCTGTTTTGTGCTTCCAAAGAAACGGAAGTCACAAAAGAAACGGTAGAAATGGTCGGAACAAATTTCATACACATGTCTAATAATTTAGCAGTAGCAAACTCCTGTACCTGGTTTGGGCTTCAACTCCCAGAAGTTGAATGGGGTTGTGAGTGTTTTCCAAACGTCTAGATAGCCAAAGTGTCACCACCTTGGTACAACTTAATCAATTGTTTCAGACACAGGGATGCATATAAAAAACCCCAAGACTGGATAAGCAGGACATGGGCCATGCCCAGTCCAAATATAATGTCCTTTAGTGCACCCGGTGGCTTTTTGAACCTATGGCCACATCTTGCTTTCTTCCAATTGAAAGCACTAATGCAAATGGGTAAATCATGTCTTTTTCCAACCTCTGTTTCAGATTGAAAGCAATGGCGTCACAAATGGATTTGCTGGAAGCGGCCCGACTGAGATACCTGACAAAAAGATGGATTGAAATAAACATGTGCTGTGGAAGCGTGGCTCCTATAAGCAACGAACTATCAGTCCTGTTCCTGCTTGGAAATGTCATTGCACTTTTTATCAGACTGTGTATGCACACACCTAGGGTGACTTTAAATTATTTTCACTATAACTGAGGAGAGGTTTTGCTATTGTCTTGCTCTTCTTGACACCCAGAACTTTTCCTCTTGCAATGTAGTTGATAATGGTAGAGGTTTGAGCATTATGTTTAATTAACACTGTTATCACCGAGCCTGCAACTTGTTGTAATATTTTTTCCAGGAATTCTACTTCGACCAACTGCTCACTTTTCCATACTTTTCTTTTAAAAGTTAAAAGTTCTTATATGCTGTACTTGAACAGAGCAGCTGTGTTGATATTGAGATACAGATAATAAATATTCGTAGTAGTTTACTCAGTGTTATTATTTTTATCCCTTCAGAACTGCTCAGTGGTGTCTTAGAGATTGTTTCACAGTGTTATTAAGTGCATTTTGTGTGGTTAGATATTGAGGGGACAGCTTTTTTGATATCACAGGAGGAGGAAAGTGGATCTTTCCCCCTCCTTTTTGAGCTATTGGTTCATATCAGGGATTCTATCATTTTAAATCTGAGGCTGGAGTTGAAATTTGCTAGATAACAACCTTAGGTATGCAGATGATACCACTTTGATGGCTGAAAGTGAGGAGAAGCTGAGGAGCCTTCTAACCAAGGTGAAAGAAGAAAGGGCAAAATATTTTTGTACTTTCTGTTGTATTGACTTTTCTGAAGCCTTTGACTGTGTGGATCATAATAAATTGTGGCAAGTTCTTGGTGGTACGGGGATCCCAAGTCACCTTGTCTGTCTCCTGAGGAATCTGCATAACGACCAAGTAGCAAGAGTAGGAACAGCCTGGAATGCTTATTGTTCCCATATTGTCATTTGAGGCTATAATGATCTTTGTAGCTTATAGTACTTTTGGCCAGCTTCCAAAGATAATGCCAGCTGCAGCCTTTCCTAAACAACAGACTTGTTCAAGATTGGGAAAGGAGGACGGCAGGGCTGTATACTCTCATCCTACCTACTAAATTTGTATGCAGAACACATCATGCAACCTATGGGGCTCGATGAATCCAAGGCTGGAGTTAAAATTGCTAGAAGAAACATGAACAACCTTAGATATGCAGATGATACCACTTTGATGGCTGAAAGCGAGGAGCAGCTGAGGAGCCTTCTAACCAAGGTGAAAGAAGAAAGTACAAAAGCTGGGTTGCAGTTAAACATTAAAAAAAAAACCCCAAGAATATGGCAACCGAACTGATAGATAACCAGCAAATAGAAGGAGAAAAAGTGGAGGCAGTGACAGGGTTTGCATTTCTAGGTGCAAAGATTACTGAAGACACAGACCACAGCCAGGAAAATCCAAAGACATTTCCTTCTTGGGAGGAAAGCAATGACCAAACTCGATAAAACAGTGAAGAGTAGAGACATCACACTGGCAATGAAGGTCCAGACAATCAAAGCAATGGTATTCCCTATAGTAACCTATTGATGCGAGTGCTGGACTATAAGGAAGTCTGAGCAAAGGAAGAGAGATGCTTTTGAACTGTGGTACTGGAGGAAAATTTTGACAGTGCCTTGGACCACGAGAACGCCACACTCCAGGAAATAATTCAACCATGTTTCCTTTTTTACAAGTCTTTTTTTTTTCTAGAGGCTATTCCAACTATCCCATTCTTTAAAAAAGGGCAGGACTTATTAATGTCTTGATATAATTTAATTTTCCTTTAATGCAACCGATTAATGGAAACTGGATCAATGTAAGATACTAAAGATGCCTGGGGTCTGAAATAAGGGTTTAACTAGAGCCTTTCGGATTCTGCGACGGAGCCTCCGCCAAACTAAAGAAGGCAACAAAACAAGTCTTGTGATTTGGACAAAAAGACACAATGGACTTAAAAGGAATGTTTTTATTTATTCATAGCTTAATTTTTAGTCTTCCTTTCTCCAAAACCTGAATACAGAGTATCATAGAAATATTGAGGATACAGGTAACAAGACTATGGCATTATAATAAAAGAGTTAAGCCAAGGCACTCCAAGTGGCCAGCTTCTTTCTGGTCAAAGGACATTTAGTATAATCACTAGAGCCTTTTGGATTCTGTAACAGTGAGCCTTCGCCAGACTAAAGAAGGCAACAAAACAAGTCCTGTGATTTGGACAAAAAGACACAATGGTCTCAAAAGGAATGTTTTTATTTATTCATAGCTTAATTTTTAGTCTTCCTTTCTCCAAATCCTGAATACGGAATATCATAGAAATATTGAGGATAAAGATAACAAGCTTTTGGCATTATAATAAAACAGTTAAGCCAAGGCACTCCAAGTGGCCAGCTTTTGGTCAAAGGGCATTTAATATAATACCAAGTTTTTACTTTTGTTTGAGGTTTTTCTATATGTTATAACTGTATTCTCAATTTGCTTCTGACACGATAATTAATTATATTATTATATTATATAAATTATATATTAATATATGTATTGATATATATATTAATATTATAATTATATAATTATATTTTACATTATATTAAATTATCTTATATCCTTGTATATTATTTAAATTATATTTTCAATTTTTATTTCTCATTGTATTTTTCATTCTTTTATTCCACCTCTAATTTTATTTTAAATTATCTCATACTGTATTCCTTTTTTATAATATTATATATAATATATATAATATAATATATATAATATAATAATACAATATACAATAATATAATATAATATATAATATAATATAATATAATATATTTATAATAATAATAGTTTTAACCTACTGGCCCAGGAAGTTTAGCTGGGTTATTACAGAGAAGCCATTTTAAACCGTTTTAAACTAGAGTTTTTGTGCTCCGACTGGATTCCTGTAAGTGCTTACTTCAGATTGTTTTTAGAGGATAACATCGCATTCTGGGGTTAATCTTCTGCTTTTGGACGTACTACACGACTTGGGACTGTTTTTTGACAACACTTTTGTTTGCTTGTACCTTGTTTTCTTGTGTTTTCTGAACTCTGGGATTTTGAAGCCGTTTGCTTGAACTTTCTGTTATCCCAGATTATATCTCAGTATAATCCGGATTATTTGCTAAATTACGTTTTTTGCACAGCAGTTTGCTACAGACTTTAAGTTCTTGTTAGATACACTGAATTAAGTGTTTCTAGCTATTTTTGTTGTGTTATTAAACTTTGTTTGGACCTTTATTTTTGTGCTGGCTCCTTTAAGGCATCTGGTTCACGACAATAATAAAATATAACAATATAATATAATATACAATAATATAATAATAATATAATATATAATACATATATTATATTATATTATAATATAATATACAATTATTATAATATAATAATATAATATATAATATATATAATAATATAATATAATATAATATACAATAATATATAATATAATAATAATAGTTTTAACCTACTGGCCCAGGAAGTTTTTTTGTTCATTCGTTCAGTCATCTCCGACTCTTCGTGACCTCATGGACCAGTCCACGCCAGAGCTCCCTGTCGGCCGTCACCACCCCCAGCTCCTTCAAGGTCAGTCCAGTCACTTCAAGGATGCCATCCATCCATCTTGCCCTAGGTCGGCCCCTCTTCCTTTTACCTTCCACTTTCCCCACCATAACTGTCTTCTCTAGGCTTTGCCGTCTCCTCATGATGTGGCCAAAGTACTTCAACTTTGCCTCTAATATCCCTTCCCCTCCAGTGAGCAGTTGGGCTTTATTTCCTGGAGGATGGACTGGTTGGATCTTCTCGCAGTCCAAGGCACTCTCAGAACTTTCCTCCAGCACCACAGTTCAAAAGCATCTATCTTCCTTCGCTCAGCCTTCCCTAAGGTCCAGCTCTCACATCTGTAGGTTACTACAGGAAATACCATGGCTTTGACTAGGCGGATCTTTGTTGCCAGTCTGATGTCTCTACTCTTCACTATTTTATCGAGACTGGACATTGCTCTCCTCCCAAGAAGTAAGCGTCTTCTGATTTCTTGGCCACAGTCAGCATCTGCAGTCATCTTTGCACCTAGAAATACAAAGTCTGTCACGGCCTCCACATTTTCTCCCTCTATTTCCCAGTTGTCAATCATTCTTGTTGCCATAATCTTGGTTTTTATGTTTAGCTGCAACCCAGCTTTGGCGCTTTCTTCTTTCACCTTGATTAGAAGGCTCCTCAGCTCCTCCTCACTTTCGGCCATCAGAGTGGTGTCATCTGCATATCTAAGGTTGTTAATGTTTCTTCCAGCAGTGGTTCTTGTGGGTTTTTTTGGGCTATAGGCCATGTTCTAGAGGCATTTCTCCTGACGTTTCGCCTGCATCTATGGCAAGCATCCTCAGAGGTAGTGAGGTCTGTTGGAATTAGGACAATGGGTTTATATATCTGTGGAATGGCTGGGGTGGGGCAAGGAGCTCTTCCCTGCTGTAGTTAGGTGTGAATGTTTAGCTGATCACCTTCATTAGCATTTGAAGGCCTGCCTGAGCCTGGGAAAATCTGTTGCTGGGAGGTGTTAATCTGTGCCTGGTTTTTTCCTCTCTGTTGTTTAGCTGCTATAATTTTAGGGTTTTTTAATACTGGTAGCCAGATTTTGTTCATTTTCATGGTCTCTTCCTTTCTGTTGAAATTGTCCACATGCTTGTGGATTTCAATGGCTTCTCTGTGTAGTCTGACATGGTGGTTGTTGGTGTGGTCCAGCATTTCTGTGTTCTCCAATAATCTGCTGTGTCCAGGCTGGTTCATCAGGTGCTCTGCTATGGCTGACTTCTCTGGTTGAGAGTCTGCAGTGCCTTTCATGTTCCTGGATTCTTGTTTGGGCGCTGCGTTTGGTGGTCCCTATGTAGACTTGTCCACAGCTGCATGGTATACGGTAGACTCCTGTAGAGGTGAGAGGATCCCTCTTGTCCTTTGCTGAACGTAGCATTTGTTGGATTTTCTTGGTGGGTTTGTAGATTGTTTGTATGTTGTGTTTCCTCATCAGCTTCCCTATGCGGTCAGTGGTTCCCTTGATGTATGGCAGGAACACTTTTCCTCTGGGTGGATCTTCATCTTTACTCTTGTGGCTTGTTCTTGGTCTTGCAGCTCTTCTGATGTCTGAGGTGGAGTATCCATTGGCCTGGAGAGCCCAGTTGAGGTGGTTCAGTTCATCTTGGAGGAGGTGGGGTTCAGATTCTTTTTGCACGGTCTGCCAAGGCTTTAATGGTGCTTCTTTTTTGACTTGGGTGATGGTTGGAGTTTTTATGTAGATATCTATCTGTGTGTGTGGGTTTTCTGTAAGTGTGACCCAATTGTTGATCTGGTTTGCGGATGACTAGGACATCTAGAAAAGGCAGTCTTCCTTCATTTTCTTTTTCCATGGTGAACTGGATGTTTGGGTGGATGCTGTTAAGATGGTCCAGGAACCTGTTGAGTTCTTCTTCTCCATGGCTCCCAATGGTGAAGGTGTCATCCACATATCTGAACCAT